TAGAATTACAAAGATTCAATAAAGGAAAATAAATGTTAATAATGATTCATTAACCTAGGAATTTATACTACTTAATGGAGACAAATAAAGACTAATAATAATCTATTAATCTAGGAATTGATACTACTTAATGATTGATTGTAACTGAAATTGTGGTAACCAAAAGTCAATCAGTTATATACCCTCTTGGTCTCTCAAATACTGATAACTAAATTTCTAATTGGGCCCTTATTACAACTTGCAATAAAATCAAACTAAAGCTCATTAATTGATTAATCAAAAACACAATTTGGTCAACCAACAATACTTGTTGAAAAGTTTCATTTGCTTCCCTTGCTCTAGCCCTTATTATAGGTCATGTTCACATTATTCTCTCCTTCTTGAAAAGGATTTATCCTCAAATCAGATTCGTCATTTACATAAAAAGGAGATAAGTCTGACAAATTGAATGTAAAACTAACATTATACTCACTTTTTATGGCTAAATAACTCTCCCTCATTTCAAGTATTTAACTCTTTTTTTTATTATTTTTTTTCTTCTCAAGTGTTTCACTGACACTTTTTTTTCTCTTTTCTTGAAGAAATTTTTCTCTCATTTTCTTTTTATCCTCACACACTTCTTGTGGACTCAAAGGTTTGAGCACAATCTTTTTGTCTTGGTGCATGAAATAGATCTTGTTGGTGAACCCATAATGATTGACTCTTTTATCAAATTGTCATGGTCTCCCCAAAAGTAAGTGACTGACTTCCATAGGAACAACTTCACAAAGTATTTTATCATTGTATTTTCTAATAGAAATGTTCACTCCAACTTGCTTCCTTACTTGCACCTCTTCATCCTTACTAAGCCATTGAAGTTTATAAGACCTAGGATGTGGTTTAGTAGGTAAATTTAGCTTTGACACTAATCTAGCACTAGTCACATTGGTGCAACTACCTCCATCTATGATCATCATGCACACCTTGTCATTAATTAAATATCTAGTGTAGAAAATGTTTTTTTCTTTGGCTTTCTTCCATAGGCTTCAATTGCCCATCAAGTAATCGTCTGTTCATTAATAAATTTCCTTTTGGAATCTCCTCGTCCTCTATGTCCTCACTCTCCTCTCCCTCTTCAACCTCAGATTCACTTATATATTCTCCCTCTCTAAGAACTATAAACCTTTTGTCTGTGCACTCATAAGCATAGTGTCCTAGGCCTTTACATTTGAAACACTTCACATCTCTACTTTTTTTAGAGGGTTGTTCTTCAGACTTTGAAGGAGTCTTTGTAGGAATAGGTGTGAAACTATTAGAAGTAACATCCCCATCTTTCATGTCTTTGTCCTTTCAACTTGAAGATCCAAAGTTGGTAGAACTCTTCTCAACCACTTCTTTTCTTTTGAGTTGTTGCTCCACTCGAATTGCTTTATGAAGTAAGTCTTCCATATCAATAAACTTCTGCAACTCAATAATATCACGTATATCAATATTCAAACCACCAATAAATCGGGTCGTAATTACATCTTCATCTTCTTCAATCTTTGTTTGAATAATGAGCATGTCCATTTCCTTGAATTACTCCTCAACCCCCTTGTTACCTTGATTAAGTTTTTGGAGTTTAAATTTCAAGTCCCTTGAATAACTAGTCGGCACATACCGCTTCCTCATGATCATTTTCATCTCAGTCTATGTATCAACCATTGGCTCTTCATTTCTACCTCTCTCCTTTAGTAGCTTGTTCCACCAAACAAGAGCATAGTCGGAAAATTTTGTAGTTGCAAGTCTCACCTTTTGGGTCTCCTCATAATTGTTGCATGAGAAAACATGTTATATTTTCATCTCCCACTCCAAGTATGCCTCCGGATCACTTTTTCCTTTGAACGGTGGAATGCTAAGCTTTACTCCTTTAAGCCTACTTGGTCTTGCTACTCCATCATTCCTTCTCCTGTTTCTCCTTTCTTCTTCATCTTTAGGATCTCTATTCTCCAACCGGTTCAATCTTTCATGGAGCTCATTATTATGTCGTATCATTAATCCTTCCAAATGTTGTACCAATGCTCTCATTTGAAATGGACTAATTCTTGTTTCTTGATTGTAATTTTCCTCTTCTGCCATCAATTTGATATTTAAACCCTTAAACCGGGGCTCTAATATCAACTGATATGAATCTCAATAGCACAAGAGATGATTTAGGATCTTTAGGGTTAGAACCTTGTAAGAAATTTAGGAATTTAGTGATAAGGTGGAAGGAAAGAATCACTCTTCCCAAGGAAGACAACTCACAAAGGATGTGAAAGTCTTTTGATATAGCCCAAAGGTTTTTGAATCACTCAAGAATTTAAGAGAATCATTCTCACTAAGATAAAAGAGATAAACTCTAATATTTATGAATAAAATTCCACTTGTTATTTTTTATGAAAATGGTTTAACCTATATAGAAGTTTTGTCATCAGAATTACAAAGATTCAATAAAGGAAAATAAATGTTAATAATGATTCATTAACCTAGGAATTGATACTACTTAATAGAGAAAAATAAAGGTTAATAATGATCCATTAACCTAGGAATTGATACTACTTAATGACTGATTGTAATTGAAATTGTGACAACCAAAAGTCAATCAGTTATACACCATCTTGGTCTCCCAAAGACTGATAACTAAATTTCCAATTGGTCGTTATTACAACTTGCAATAAAACCAAACTAAAGTCTATTAATTGATTAATCCAAAACACAATTTGGTCAACCAACAATACTTGTTGAAAAGCTTCATTTGTTTCTCTTACTCTAGCCCTTATCATAGGTCATGTTCACATCACATTATGACCAATCTTGAAATGAAATCCTAATCTATCCAACTAGCACATTCAAGTACATAGAGACATCCTTCCAAATGTATAAGACGTCTAGTATCTAAGATCAATCTATATGTCCCAATGCCTTATTATCCTTGCTTTCTTTGTTGCCCATAAAGAAAAAAATTCCATTTCCTCTTATGGTTTGAATCGAAAGGAATCCCTACAAAATATGTGACATATAAGTAGTTGTACCAAAATCAAGTCACCAGGTATTATTAGGTTCTTCAATAAGTTCAAAATATAAAATATATCTTTCTTTTCAAATCATTTTTTTCTTTTAGGACAATGCTTCTTGAAGTGACCTTTCTTATTACAGAGGTAACACTTCTTATCCTTATGAATTTTACCTTCATTGATCTACAATTGGGTTTTGCTTTTGTCTTTTTTATCTGACTTGCTCTTATTGCTATTGGCTCGATCATGAGTCATGAGATAAACATAGTCGTCCTTCATTTTTTTAAATCTCTTTTTCTTCTAAACTAACATGCCCTTAATTTCTTGAAAGTTCCATTTTTTCTTTAAAGGTGTTATAATTCACTTAGAATTGACCAAATACAGCGGGCAGGTAAATCAAAATGAACAACACTAAGAAGGATCCACTCACTTTTATTGTCATATACTTCAACCTTGCTATCATATTAAACATTTCGGTCACATGATCATGAATTGATTAAGACTAATCAAATATTTTGTTTGTAACTTCACTTGTCAAATTCTCCATAACTAACTTGTCAGTAATGTGAGATTGCAAGAAATTCTTAACCAAATTCATGAATTCCTTAGCATTATCAATTTTTAGCATAGATGATTTAACATTTTTAGTCAATAGTCAGTCTCATCAAGTTTAATGTCAATTTATTAAATCGCTCTCAAACATTATTAAGAGACATTTCAGCTTATGTATTGGTCTCAATAATGGGTGAGAATTTTTCATCCATTATCAATACAAAGTCTAAATCCATAACACCCAGATGAAATTAAATAATTTCATATCAATCAACATAATTAAAACCATTGAACTTAATCAAATATTTGCTCAATGGAATCATATTAGACATAGCTACACACATTTAAACAAACTCACTCATCAATATTCTGAAAACTTAATGAATTCAAACTATATAAACTTTAATCATGTATCTACTTTATTTTGGTAAAATAAATACACTCAATTTGCATAACATACACTTTAATGGACAATAAAATATATATATATTTTTGGAAAGACATACACTCAACATGAATAAAAATAAATAATTTATATTATTAGTAGTTATAAGTAATTATTCACCTTTGAATAATCTATAAATGACTTATAATACTAAATTTCAATTAACCATAACCCAATTAACATATGCATAATTCAACATCCTTTATTTCAAGGGTAATTGGCATAATTCAACTTTATTTTGGAATTAATTAAAATGTAGTAAAATTCAATTCATGTGGTACAACAAAATTGAAGTAAATTTCATAATTTCAAATTAGGATTTATATAATTTAGGAAAAACATTATTGGAGGAGAATCATAAATTTCTAATCTACAGTGTAAACTTGTAAGTTTCAAATATTCTAATTTAATTCAAGAAACTATTACATTTCATAGGAATAGTAGGATCTATGATTCTCAGAAATATATTATTATAAGTGTTTAAGAACTTACCTAGATCTATTATGAAAGATCTCCTGATGAATATTTTTTCTTCTCTTATTTTGTTAATGATATAGAAGGTGTCTGGTACAACCCATTTTTCTATCAAAGTCCAATAAAGAAACTATAATATAACTTTTAGGCGGTATTTTAAAATATTTATTAAAATATCATAATACCTTAATAAAGTGAGAAGAGAGGAAATTAATTTTAATAACTCAAATAATTCTCATATCCTTAATATATTTATAATCTAATAATAATTACATTACAAATCTTTGTATTAAAATTATTTTATAAATAATATGAATCAATATTAGATTAAAATAAAATTTGAAAATAAAAATACAAATTTATCGAAAAAGATAATAATGAAAGATATATACTTATAAATCATTTTTAAAATAAAAATATTAATCACATTATCGTTGAAAAAATAAAGTTGTACTATGTAGCATCTAATAAAGTTATCAATAAATCTTCTACCTTCTTAAGATATATGAGAATTTTCAAGCATCATGTTCTTTAATAATAAAATACAATCATTTCATTATTCTCAAAGTACAAATAAATAATTACTAATAATATAAAATCAAATCTAACAAAAAAAAAATACATTATCGTATATCAGAACCAGTAATATTAAACCTAATAATAGTTTTTATTAACTCAATAAGCAACATACTATACGTATATAATATTATATTTTATTATATAAATTTATATTAATTATTCTCAACTATTTGTTTGTCTCATTAAATAATTATTATAATATTATACGATTACTTAATTACAACTTACATTAATATATTTATATTTCGAAAGGACTTAAGTGTCTATCTGTATAGAGTAAAGATATTTGAATTTATAATGAAAATTATGAGATAATTAATTTAATTATAAAAAATAGCTTAATAAATGAAAATTATATTTACTTATTTCACCAATTATGGTTAAATAGGTAATTTAATCCCTTTATTTATTAAAATGTGTCTCAAAATTTTTAAAATTTTTAATTTAGACATGAATATTGAAATTAATGTCGAATTTGGACTATCTGATGTGTATGTTTTGACTTCATTATATTAGATGTCTAGTTGGAGTATTACTTCTGATGTGGTTAGGTGATTGATTATAGTTTCGTAGCGGATTTGTCATGTCACATTAAAATTGCAGAAAGAAAGGAATATGGACGCAGATGTGTTTAGGGTTTGAACAATTGAGAGTTTGTTGCAAATGAGTGAGGAAAAGTGAGAGGATATTCAACGACAAGGGAGGTGAGAGTTCCATTTATGACGGCAGTGGGGGTTTAGGGTTCCAATCGCCGTCGTATGTGAGATTGACTGTGACGAAGGAGGAGGAAGTTGATTCCATTTAGGGTTTGCGACGACGATATCGAGGGAGCAAGTTGTTTCCGACGACGAGGGAAAGGGGACCTGCGATGATGGCGAAGTCGAGCACACAGGGGGACTATCTGCGACCCATTGCGACGACGAAGGAATGACGGTAATAAGAGATGAGCGATGATAAGCGATCATCGTCGACAAGAAGACACAAACTTCAATTGTTCATACTCTAAACACATTCGCGACCCCTATTCTTTTCTTCCTGCAATTTTAATGTGACGTAACAAATCTGTCATGTAACTATAACCAATCACTTAATCACATCAGAATTGATACTCCAACTAGTCATCTAATATAACGGAGTCAAAACATAAATAGCAGTATTCTAAAATTGACATTAATTTCAATATTCATGTCTAAATTGAAAATTTTAAAAATTTTGGGACCACATTAAAACATTTTATAAAATAAAGGAACTAATTTACCTATTTAACCTACCATTTATCGAAGACTTTTTTTTTTTTATTAATTTAGACAATGATTAGTTAAGTTAGGGTTTTGAAAATGTAATTGAGATTTTTTTTATTAAAACAAACAAATAATGGCCCTAGAGCATTGAAGCGTGTGTTTATGAACTTACAAAATATCAAAAAACGGATATAAGTTTTTTCTTTTTTTTAAATACATTCACTAAAGAATGCATGCGGGAGAAATTCAGATAAAAATTATTGAGATTTTTAAGATATATATATATATATATATATATATATATATATTATGGAAAATTTATTTCTTATATTTTATTCATGTATTATATAAATATATAATAAAATATTAAATATTAATAATATATTGGTTTGAGTTATTTAAATCAGAATGATAAATATATTTTTATTATTATTTTATATAATAATAACATTTCTTAATATTTAATTTAAATAAAAATATTAATAAAATAGATATTAAAAAAACACATCAAACTGGAAAATACATATCTAAAGTTGATGGTGGATATTTTTTATATTCTGAAGTATTGGAAATATATACCCTGATATAAATAATATATAAAACAGAAAAATTTACAGAAAGTTATAAATTTAAGGGATTGGATTAAAGATAATAACTTTTTTACATATTTATTAGTAAAAATATTTTTTAATATTTAATCCCAAATTGATTATATATATGAGAAGTAAATTTACGATAAATACAATATAAAAAAATCGCACAAATTGATTATCTCAACATTTTTTTAGGTGAAATTATACTCTATCATAATGATAGATTTATTATCCTACAAAATTTAACATACATTTTGGAAAGTATTATTCGAACTAAAATTATTTAACTTCTCTAAAAATAAATGAATAATAAAATATAAAAAAATATATTTTTCAGGAAGATGATGAAAACTCTTAGAGTGTTTTTTCTTCGTATAGAAGGAAATTACGTGCAGTGCAGCACTGTGAATAGCTATTGGGGAGTGTGAATAGCACGTTCCTTAACCAAATTCTAAACTTTGATGGTAGGATTGGGCTTATAAACCCATTGAAAATATATTATCAGAACCACTCAACCAACACTTCATGTCCCTCAAACAAACAAACCATTCATAACCTTATTTTCTTTATTTTAATACTCCCCCAAAAATACTAAAATAATATAGTTTTGTAGGTTTTAAAAAAGGAATATTTTTTTATGGAAATGAAGGGAAAATGATATATGTTTGAGGAATAAATTTGCATTTAAATAAAAGGAATAAATCAATAAAATTATTTTTTTGAAAGTATATATTCTTTGATTAAACTACGTGTAATATTTTTATAATGTTTAAATCCTATCCTTAAGTTACCATCATTGCTCAGTAGACAGATTCTGTTAATCCAGTTATACATCCATGAACAGCACTTTGAGGTTGTGTCACAGACAAAGAATTAAAACACAAGCAAGTTTCCTCCAAGGCACAACAACAACATATATTCTTAATCATCATCATCGTCATCATCATTTACCTCTTAACCTAGCCAGATCATGTTGTTATTACATTCAAACCCATCCAAAAACATGAAACAGATTCAGAAAATGGTGGAATTTGTCCATTGATTTGGTGCAATCATACATATTTTGGTTGATGGTGTTTTTATGGTTTTATTTATTTGGATCTCAATCATATGGTCATGTATCTGTATGTGGAATGTATTTTGGAGGAAATAATTGGTAAGTGATGGCGACTCATTAAGTTATGTCAGCGTATCATGTTCAGGAATCTAAATTGCTTTGTCTTGTTGTGTTGTTTGGGCCCAAAATCACGTGAATGTTTTTCCCAGCTTTCGACTTTCAAACTTGCCACACCTGAAAAAGGATAATATATGAATAATCTATTTTAATTGCTTTATTTTGAAAAATAATCACAAAGTTTAGTAACTGTTATCTTATAATAACAATTTTGACAGTATTATCTTAATGTTAATAGCATTATTGAAATTTGTCTTCTGTCAACAGTTTTTATAATTTTATTTATGTTTTATTTAGAGTCTTTCATTGGAAGTTTATTTTGATTCTTTGTTATCTTTTATATTTTAGTAGATTTTTTATTTTTATTTTTATCATAATTCACCCATAATTTATAAGAAATTAGTAAGGTCACATTTACTATTCATAATTAGATTGACTCTAAAAAGTCAACCTAAAAAAGATTTAGAGATAAATCGATTGAATGAAAAAGTCATCATTTTTTCACCCTGACAATACACGAATAATATAAAATTATTCGTATTTTAATATATTGAGGATGGAAAGTATCTATCTTAATTTTTTTCTTTAATAAAAAATGGTCACATAATTTATTTAACATATCAATCAAATTCAACTTAAAAATAAAATAATAAGAAACACTAAATGGAATAATAAATATGTAATAGAATAATGGTGAAGAGCCACACAATTTATTGAAGGTTTGATGGTATCGTGCGACATGTTTCATTTCCCTTTTTCTTTTCTCCTCATTCTAATCTATTCGGAGAGAAGAAAAGGTAGAATTCTTGTAAATAAGGACCCTTTTTCCTGGACTTGTCAATGACAGAATCATAAATGGAGGAATTTCCTGCCACACAATGCAAAAGGGGCTTTAAAGACTGTCTTAATCGAGTTTAGTGGACCATCACTTGAAATAACATGGTAGCTAATGGTAACAACATAGAATAATGATATATTTGATTGCTAGAGTAGTATGGACAAAAGCACTGTTTTGCAAGCCCCTCATAAAATTAAAGTCACATATACTGACACTAGTTAATAATTGAAACCCCTTATGCGGGTCTCAGTTTTCACAATAAGTCCATGGAGTATAGTGCCTCTCACTTCCTCCACACTTCCAATTTGCTTTCCATGCCTCACTTTATCTGCAAAGATACATGAACTATAACAGGGGATGTCCCTTCCAATAGTAATAATCCTTGTAGAGAGGCAATGCCAAGAGAATAAGATAAGGTGTCACAGGAAAGAAACTTGTCATGTTGATAAATAATATTCAACTGATAAATGTCTCATTCTCAAACACCTATATAATTGACTCTTCATTGTTTTTATTCTTACTATATTATTATTCTTATTACATGCCACCATCATCATTAGCTAATTGAAATCAATTCTTATATTTTGTTTTTGTTTGGTATACAGATTCAAAGTATGTATCTGGATAAAGTTGAGAATTTTGTGGTTTCTTACCAGACATTATTCCAGAAAAAGAAGAAGTGAAAAACCAAAAGGAAAAGGAAAATGATATGATAACATAAAATTTCTCTCTTCTAATCAGCTATCTTATCTTGACTATTGATCAAGAAGTTCTTGCAGATTTCTCAAAAATGATATTTGGAAGCATTGCTTAAACCAAAAATGCACTTAATCTACTTATGAATTGTGATTCTGAGAGCTAGCTAGCTAAACTAATTAAGATCTAGTTTAGTTTAATCTTTAAGTTTTGCTTTTCCTAAACTAAAATAAGTTTTACCTTCTCAGAATCAAGCGTTATCATTGGCTTAAATTTTGATGATCAACGCTTATTTTTCAACTATTTTTTTAGGATGATATGAAAACTTGGACTGTAATTGCTTTGCTGTTCAATCATGATAATGAATTAAGCCATTTTCCTTTTTTGGATATCATTTTGCGTTTATATTGGACATACTTCAAGCTTCTGCAACTGAAGAATTAATACTTCAAGCTAAGGGAAAATCAAATGAATTTCTGACAGCCAAAACTACAAGGGATAATTCTGTATAACCAAATCATTAACATAATTACACTAAATGCAACAGAATCTTACATTGCCAATTCTTCTGAAGCTCCTCAGTGTCCTCACAGAACCAATTTATTATGCAATAAACAAATATCTTATCCTCTAAAACATGAAAAGAGCTAAACAAAGTTTCTATTCTGACCACTGTGATTAAAAGTAAACCATAAAAGAAGTTGAATCTGAGGAGGTTGAGGCAGCAAAACGATGGTTCCTCCTGAGACCACCAAAACTTATGCCATGGCGTGGAAGGAGGCGCTCTCTGACCCTCGTCAACACTGCCGTGTACTCTCCTAATATCTTTGTCATAACCACCACCATTATCATCTTTCTTGCTTTTTCTTTTTCAGCTTCAGATCTCACAAATTCTTAGAGAAAAGCCTTAAGAGTGAGAGGGGTGAGAGAGGCTTCCTATAAGTAAGGCTTCTTTTGCACCTGAGTTTGGTCGTTACAGCGTGTGGCTTTTGCGAATAGATTTTGAGTTGTGGGGTTGAAGAGTGATGCCACACACACATTTATATATAAGGCATAAAGGTTAGGCAAAAAGGATTACAATTCTGGCACTTTGTGTGTACAAAACAGTGAATTAGGAACATAATAACTAGCATATTTTTACGTGGTAATTACCACAATGATTAAATAATCAGATAGATACAATAATTTGACCATATTATGGCTTTGAGAGACACGGTTTTGACATTCACATACTATTTATTTGGGTATGGAATTCTCTACTAGTAACGCGTAAATGGTAATCATTATGGAATTACCGAATTTATTTTAATCACGTTTCTGTGTGGGACGTTTTGGGGTGTCTCATCATAGCTTTTTAAGAGCTGATCTGGTCTGAATATATAGGGAAAACATTGGAGAACATGGAGTAGCTTGTAAGTTTTGAACACAAGTTTGGTAGATGCATGCATTGGACTATGTCAGGCGCAGTGGTGACTCTGGCTAACTTCTTTTTGAAATATGATGTATGGTCAGCTCATGTTTATCCAACACACATAAGTTTGGCAGAGCCGAATTTTGAGAGCGTTAATCTTAGATAATTGGCTCTCATAGCCTCATTTATTGAAAATAATTCATAGTCCTAAATGTTATTGTCGTTGCAGATAAGGAATGGAATGTGAGCATGGTGAACAAAGTTGAATGGCAAAAGTAAATGATGGGCATGTTTAGTTGTCTAGCAAATAATGTTTCAAAGGAATGAATAGTATTGGAGAGATAAATTCATACATCTCTAAATTGGCCCACTACAACATAGGACAATGGTATTAGCTAAAGTAGTGTAACAAAATGTACCTTAAAGAGAACCTAACTTGCCTCAAACAGGAAGAATCCAAATGTAGCATAATGAGTGAGTGTTCTTTTAGCATAGACTAGCTAGCTGTAATTTGTAGATGCTCATGAGATACGATGTTGTGATATATCATATTCAATCAAGAAAGCAAAATCACACTACATGTAAAAGGAAACAGTGCAAGAATATATATAAAGAGCTGAAATGCTAATATGTACAATACAAGTCAGATATGGAACTAACATTTCCACTTCAAAATTTACACTCATTTTCTTTTGGAGTCAATTGTTTCTTTCTTTCTTGCCCTGATCTTTGTGCTGTTTAGAAAGAATATGATCTAGCGAAGACCTTCTTCCATGCTTTCAAACTCAGAGACCGAACCTTGGTTAAAGCTAAAGAGGGCTTAAAATCCTTTTGAGGAAAAGGTGATGGTGAAGACGAGGGTGATTGTGATTTCTCTAATGCAACATTGTCTTCTTGGTTCCAAAACCGAGCCTCTTTTCTTTTGCTTCTCACGGTTTCTAGCACATCATATTTGTTGCAAATTCCCCACACAGTAACCTTTTGTTGATAGTAATCCACACTCACAGAGTATATGCCTATCAATGTCATCAATAATAAAAAATGTTCGTCACTAACATAAATGTTATATTTGCAACGAATAGATTTGATTTAATGAATAACAATATAATAAAATATCTTATTATACATTGTTTTACTGATCTTCATATTACTAAACAAAAAAAAGGTTCAATATACTTGTTTACTTTCAGATATTAAAGATAATTTTACTTTTCATTCAACAATTCCTTGTTAGGTATAAGAAAAAACATAAGAAAATAGAGTAGTAATGGGAAGTTTTACTTTTAGATGGGTGTGGGAGAATTTCTTAAAGATAAGTGACTATTTATGACAGTGGTTGTGTCACCGAAAGTGATATCTAGGACCTAAATATTTGAGCTTTGAATTTGTTGTCCAGCTCCATAGTAAACAACACAACACAACACAACACAACACCGTTTCTTTTTGAGTCAAGAAATTGCCAGAGTTTAGAACAAATTGAAAGAAAATATAAATGTAATTCATGCATTAAAAGGAAGAAAACAAATATCGCAACACATGACTGGAGTTTCTAGTTGTAAAATTGCTCAATGCTCTCATTTGTTATTATTATGATCCAAGAACCAATTTGATTAAAAAAATAAAATCCTTGATTAAAGATCCTAATGGTAGTTGTTATCTCCACGTCAACATATTTCTATCTCAATTAGTGGAGACAACAAATTGTCAACTGGGCATAGCCCACACAGCCCATGAGTCTCAAATGCGTGTGAAAAGGACCCAAAAATCGAAGTTGTGAAACTTGAAAAACCCATCCTGACTTTGACTACATGTGGAACAGTTTGAACATTTACAGAGTTAAACATGAGTAAATCAACCACCAGCTAACAACTTTTGAACACATATATTTCAAATTAATTAACCATATTGCCTTGAAAACTAGGACAAAAAGGGTTAGTTACCTTTAAGACTGGACAAGGTTTTCTTTATTTTCTTCTCACATCCATAGGAATACAATGGAACCATCATTTCAACATACTGTGCTTCCACAATTTTCTTGTAAGCTGGGACAATTTGCATGTTGGCCATCCTCAATTTCTGAACTCACCCCATCCAATATTCCAATCAATGTTTTTGCTGGTTGTTATATATAATGAATCAATGTGTGTCCAACCCTTATATAAAGTCTTGGTTCAGGATATGGATCATGCATGGCCAGTTAACTAAGTTCATTCATAATCCATTTATTAGATTCTATTCTAAAGAAGCTTTTATTCCATCACTCACTTTTTCTTTCTCTTTCTTTTTGTTTACACTATTTTTTCCTTTATGACTTGAGATGTTGTTACTGTCAATGGTTGCATCACAATCAAGAGGGTTAATTAAATAGGGCGTGATCAAGGAAACTAAAACGATGGTTTTGAATGGGGTATGGGTGGTGTGAGATGGATGAGTGCAAAGTTGTGTCAGCAACCCTTTGTTGGTTGAACAAAAGTAGATGCATTGCATTCAGCTTTTGTCGTTGGAAATTGGAAAATCTTGGACTTTGGCTCCACGTGGGTTGTTTTCCTTACCAAAGAAGACAGTAATTGAATTGGAAGAGTTCCAAATTATTTAATTTTTTAGACTAATCTTTCCAACAAAATTTTTAATTTAGGTAGAACATACTTTAACATCATTCCCCAAAGAGTCTTAGAGTGGTTTAGAGACTCATATCATAACCTTGGTTTGAAGATGTGAGTAGTGTACTTTATCAGTTTAAATTATGCAGAAAGGACACTTAAAGCATGAAACTGATGTTAATTAATTTAATGCACATGCAATTGTCGTTTCATTTGAGATGAAACACATAAAACATAAACCAAATGAACACCATGATAAAGCATTGCATATGCATTTGCTTGCCTTCATTTTAAATCATAATATTATAGTGTTTGGATCGATAAATCATTTCAATTTTTCTCCTTTATTATAATCACAAAGTTCGATTGTTTTTAAAGTTACATTAATTAGTCTTCTATTTAGATAACACATGCAACTTTTTATTTTACTATTATTATCAGATTATGATGAAGTCGATAACCCAAAAACTCAAAATTTCAAACATTTCTGCATATTGTCGTTGGTTTGGTTTGAGGAATGTATGAGTTTTCATCACCCCCAAACAAAAGTGCACACCGACATTGAAGAAAAAAAAAAGTGAGTGTTATTCGAGTCATCTTCAGGATCAGATTTTTTTTTTCTTTATGTTAACTTTTCAGGAGAGCTCAAGTAAGGAAATGAACTTTTCTCTTACCAATTAAACATTTTAATTTTTTTAATTGATAAAATATTAATTAATGTTATTGTGTGTATATTATTTTGTTAAATTAATGTTATTACGTGTTTTGCACGGTCTAAATTAATGCTAGTTCTCATCTAAATTCTCTGTTTTTTTCCAACAAGCACGTAAGAACACATGACAATGATAAAGAGGTAAAATTAAAAGGAAATATATTTATGATAATATGATCTCTTTGTTCCGACGTAGTAAAATATCATGGCCCATCATAAAACTTTTTTACCACGTATTCAAAACATGATCTAGAAAAATCGTTTGTTTGAAGTGAGAATACTTTAAAACAAATTACAAATTTTAATATTTATTACAAAATTTTTTAACCGACGGTAAATTTTAGTTTACATTTTCGAAACATCAATTTCCAATGTAACTAGATTTAAATATTTAATTTTGTGGATTTTGATGGAAATCGGTACGGAAGACAATAAAAAGAGTAAATGCGTATGACAAAATCGTTAGTGTGAAAGAATTGATATGCGAGTCGGTTTTAAATTAGCACGACTCACTAGTTTTAATTTTTTTTTATTTCGTCTAATTTGATAATTCGATGAGTTAAGAATAAGGATAAAAGATTGATTAATTTTTAAAAAAATTATATATTAAAATTAAAATAATAAAAATTAAAATTAAAAATATTATATTAAAATTAAAATAATAAAAATTATATTAAAAAAGTTATATTATTAAAATTTTAAATACATTATAATTTAAATTATAAACATTAATTAATTAAATTTAAATTATTAATTATAATTAGATATTTTAACATATAAATATTATAATTTTTAATTTATCTAATTAAAATAAATAATAATAAAAAATAAAAAATTATTTATATAATTAAAATGTATATTTTTAAAAATATATATATAAAAAATTGATGGGTTTATAGGATTTATAGTTTGTCATGGTTATGAAAAGTTATTTAGTTTTTTTTACGTAAGTTTAAAATTATACAAACTAACCCAATTTATATTGATTGAATCACTAATACTTTACACTACATTAATCAACCAAATAATAGTTTGATTGTTAATTAATTTTTTCTTCAAATTTCAACTATTTCTCTCTAATTTCTCCTTGGGAGACCTTTTTTTCTGTGTTTAATCCCACCACACATATTTGATGGACCACAATCGCCTTCATCATTTAGAATTTTCATTGCAAATTAATTTGTTACAATATTTGAGATTTTATTGACTTAAAAATAAATATTAAATTTTCGCATTTTTTACTTAATAATAAAAGTGAATATAAAAATTAAAATATATTTTTTTATAGATATTAGAACTAATATTTCAAATTAACTTCGAATTATAATTTAATTAGGTTTAGAGCCTATTTAAACCACTTTGCATGAAATAGATGTAAATGATTTATGTTTTGAGTAACGTGTTATCTTAAGCTCTTGAGAATCCAAACATAATAAAGTAATAACAACAAAACACAAATTACAAGTGATTGTCGTGATTTCAACGTTGTTAAACTTTGTCATATAGAATCCCATTGAAACCATCGTTAGTATCATAAAGTAGATGGTTTTAAATGTTTCTATGTATAATTTGTTTTTTACACTATCAAATATTTTGGATCTGTAACCTTTTATCTAAAGCCATCTATAAAAAAAATTATGTAAAAAATTAATTTAATAAATAACATATCTCTCCATTATTTTAAATATTTTATTGTGTCAATAAACTATTTTATGTATTTGACAAATTAAGTGTATACGTGAATCTCTTCTATTTAATTAGTTATTCTAATTAGTTTAATATTTAATATTCTTATACTTTCTATAAAATTGTATTCCATTCTATAGTCTCAAAACAGCCGAAAGACAAGAATAGCGTATAATATAATAATATAAAACATAATAATTATCTTCAGATGGAGAATTTGTGTGTCTGGTTTGGTTTGAGTAGTTGGAGAAATTATTAGCTACATACAATTCATCACACGATTTCTATATTTTTATTTCAAATGTGTAATTCTTTAAAAGTATATACATTTTCATCATCGTATTCCTCACGCAATCAAATAAAACACAAAATTTGATTCATTTATAATTTATACACTTTTTGTTTGATATGGTAGGTAAGGAAGGAGGATATAGAACAATGTAAAATTCGTCTCTCCATTCGACAAAAAAATGTATGAGTTTCGTGTGTTTTTATATCCATCCAAGAGAGAAAGAATTTTTTTTTCAATGCAAAAGATAAATTTTTCTAATTATAATTTATTTTAAAATATACTTGTCATTTTACAGTTTTTTTTTCACTTTTCTAACAAAAATTCAACCTTATCTTTCAGCTTTAATTATACATATAGTTTTTACGTAAATATATTATTTTTAAGTAATTTTTGTAATATTTAAATATGATTTTGTAGAAGTGATGGTTTATATCTTCCTTTTTTTCCGACTGCACATTTTAATACTTGTTTATTACTGATAAAATGAAGTCATTTTTACTCTCCATTCAATAAATCACATATTATTTTCCATCGAATTTAATAAAATTTAACTAATATTATATTTGGTAAGGGGAAAAATAAAAATAAAAATATAAGAGACAATTGTAAAATAAAAAAATAGAAAGAGAGGAAAAGTGGAAAAAGTAAGTGAAAAATAAAACTAAAATAGACATTGTGTAGTAAAATAATGAAAAGTAACTTTTTAAGATTATTTGATTTTTAAAAATATACTGCAAAATTTATTATTACTGTTTTTTATTTTTGTTATTATAATTCTTTCATTTCTTATGCTTTTTTTATTAACATTATTTATTTATTTATTATTACTGTTAATTATTTATTTTATCTATTATTTTTATTAGTGTATTTTACTATGCAACAACAAGTATTGGAACGGAGGGTTCAGTAATCAATTATGAAAGACTTGTCATATCATAAGTAAAAAAATATGCAACATAATTTATTATTTTGTACAATATAATTGTTAAAATGACCCTTTTATAATAATTATGCATAGTTCTTATTCTTGTGCAAACATAAATTCCTACTAAAAAAAATCCTACTCTTATCCTTTCTTTTTCTCTCTATTTAAAATTCATCAAACACACTAATAAACTAACAAGTCAAAATTTAAGCAATCCTTTGCATATAGCTAAGCACTTATTAGTGGATCACCCTCATAATCAAAAGTCAATCAACAATATTTAAATTGATTAACATGACAACAAGAGAAAGAAAGAAATCAGGAGGAGTTAAAAACTTAACGAGATACTCATATTTCACAGCTTCTGTACAATGATGATATGTGACTGGTGTAATAATAACATATCGTACATGCATGAAAAAAAGACAGAACGATATATATATATATATATATATATATATATATATATATATATATATATATATATATATATATATATATATCATCAATGGACTTATTATCATATGATTCCATTTGACTTGACACCACTCCTATTCCACCAACCCAAGTTAATAAAAAATTTCTCATATTGGTGTGCTTACTAAACAACTTTTGAAGCTTTTCTTCGCTTTCTTTTAGTCATTGCTTTGATGATAGTTTGAGTTCATGTAATGCAGCATGCATTAGGATTTTCATCACTGAAGAGTTGTGGAGGTGGTATTCGTTCAATGACATAGAGTGGAGGGTACTGGTAATAGTACATCATCCTCTTCAGGCCTTCATCATCGATGTTATTTGCAGCCACTACCACATTCTCTTCTTTTTTGGCTTCTTCTTTGCCTTCTTCACCACCCTTTTCTTCTTTGTTCTCACTGTTGTCACCACCCTCTTCTTTCTTGGCTTCCTCTGGTGGCTTCTCCTCTTCTTTCTTCTCATCAGGTTTAGTCTCTTCTGCAGGTTTCTCTTCTTTTTTACTCTCTTCTTTCTTCTCTGGTTCAGGTTCTGGCTCTGGCTCTGGCTGGGGAACTATCTTGGCTTGCTTTTTGGTGCGTCTATACACATAATCTACTAGCTTGTTTGCATCCATGGACCCTGTCACAAGAACCTTCCCCGTGCTAAACTCTGTCATTGCTGTTTGAACTCCTACATTAATCAACACAACGTTTCACATTAGTTACAAATAATATGAAGATAAAATGAAATGATATGGTGCTGTTACAAAAATGAAAGACAAAAGGAAAGGAAAATATATATATTACTCGATCATATGTATCACAAATCACTATTATACCTATATAATTTCTAATTAGTTAGAAGTATAAAAACTTTTACACTGACCATCTAGTCCTATTAATCACATATAGCTAAACAATTTTTAATGATCCTTCTGTTGTGTCTTTTCTTTTTTTGTATCTTTTTTAGATGATCATATCATCTACAAGAAAGGATCCAAAATACCTCTGAACTATTCTGTCTACATTTAGCTCAAAGCCAATAGGATAAGGCTAAGTGGTTAATTTGATTTTGAAGGCATTATATATATGTACAAGGCCATCAAGAAAATAAAGTCGAAAAAGAAAATTGTTAGGTGAATGGTATGACTGGATTTTTAAATCTCTCTCTCTCTATATATATATATATATGTGTGTGTGTGTGTAAGAGTTAAAGTTGTTTAAATCACTTATAATTGACAAATTTTGAGGTGCTATCTCACGTAGGACATGGTCCATGTATAACATCACCGACCCATTTTCACAAAAGAATGCCACGTTAGAGGGTCCAACTTCAAGTGCTGCTGATTTGGCAATCTGATGGATACAATGTATGAAAGGATGAATATACCCAAATTCTTGAGTGATGATTCATCCTTATTGGACCACCTTTGTAATAGTTATTTGAAAAATGACTCATGAAGTTTGATTTGTCGCATTCACAAAACTCTATTTGGCACCACAAAATTTAGTCATTAAGAAAGCAATTGTGTACTATTTTTTTTCTTTTCACCTGTCCTTTGTCAACCAACAATGAAGCCATCATATTGAAAATTTGAAATCAAGAGAAAAATGGTACCTCTCATTTGTAGTATCTTCCTCTTGAGTTGCTCAGCACAGGCCTCACAGTGCATGTTCACATTTAGTTCCACTGTAACTGGTCCACTAACCTGGAACTCCAACAATTCCCTTTGTTAATAAATTTTTTATATGTAACTAGTTTTCCTCTGTTTATTTTGATCTCGACTAGGAAAGAGGAAATACATTGTGATACCTGAGAATTGACAACTTCTGGTATAGGTTCTCCTTCTGCTTCAGGCAATGGAGATATAACACTGGCTCTTCTCTTTGTTTTCTTGGTGATTATGTTGCAGATCCCTTGAGGCTCCACTATACCCTTTATTGTCACTTCATTTTTAGCCATGTCAATTACCACTCCCTCAACTCCTGTCAGAAGATAAATACAAAAGAAAATAATGAGTGCACACTCATGAATGACATTTGGTGGCAAAAGGAAAGAACATGTAACGGATTTGAACCTCTCATTTTCATAATATATCTCTCAATTTTCTTGGCACATCCCACGCAATGCAAGTCCACAAACAGCACACATGGGGAAGGTGGTTTAGGCTCTTCCTTCTTCTCTTCTGCTGGCTTTTCTTCTGGTTTTTCTTCCTTCTTTTCCTCTTCTGGCTTCTCCTCTGCTGGCTTCTCCTCTGGCTTGGCTTCAGCCACTGGTTGTTCCTACACAATATACAAATAGGAACCCCTAATAAGTACTAGAACTAATGTAGACCCAGTTATCAGCAAGAGAAGAAAAAATAACATATCACTAGGAAATCACAATGCCAACAGAAAGGTTATATCACCTGTTTTGCTTCCTCACCCATTTTCCCTATGAATGGAAACTGAAATGGCAAATTATTACTCTGATCTTGAGGGAAAGTTCTTGGACATGCAAAAGATGGAGAGGGTTTAACAAGTGTTGAGAGTTATTGATATTATAAGGAGGGAAGGAGAGGGGGCAATGATAGATTGCTAAGGGGTTGATTTGCATATAAAGTTAAACTGAGTGATTCCTTATCACATGCAGACCCACTAACTGCAAAAGGAACCTCTTAGTTTAATATTTCTTTTCAGAACTCTTTTCAATCTTCAAGTACGTGAAGGTTGAAGGGGTGTATCAGTTGAGCAGGCTCAGCAGATTTATAGACCAAGGTGGAGTGGAAGGGGGATTAATAGTTAGGCTGGGAAGAGAGAGAAATAACAAAAAAGTAGAATGTGAGAGAAAGGGAGTCTTGAAAAATAAATAAAAAATTAAATACTTCCATTATCCACCGACTGGTAGATTTTTCATCACAAGGTGGTGAAGTGTCATTCTGTCAGACATGCATGGTATATGTGTAAGTGTATGACCTCATTAGGACAACCTGGAGACCTACCAATGTGTCTATAGCATCAGCACCTATTCTGAATCTAATTACTTATTCTTGCCTTGTTCTCTGTACTGTGATTTCAAATTACTATATTAACAAATTACAATGCACCACCTAAGCTAAAATAATTAACCATGTGAGACTAAGATTCTTTATGTCTATTTGCATTAAACATTTCTTAATACAATTTATTAGATTAATCTTGAAGTGGAAAGTTAGTACAGTATATGTTACAGTTAGCATCAGTCCAAGAAGAGAAATATTAACTTATTTATTTTAAAGAATACATTGGAGTAATTGAATATTACTGAGAATCTTTTACTGCTAACAACATAACTGCAGCCATTTTAAATTATTCATTCATTGTTTATATAAGAAAAAATAAAACAAATTTTGTTATTTTTTGTTGCTGAATAATTATTCCTCCCACATTAAGCATCTACATAGCTGCTTTTAGTTATTATTTCTTGGTTTTACCTAAGTTTAAATTAAGATATATTTATTTATAGATGAGTTGTTTGCATATCATACATACACATGACAAGAGTTTGTCCAATTAATGAAAGTAGAGTGCGCATAGATTTTTCATGTTTATCTATCCTTCTTAAGTTGGGGAAAGCAACACTCAGATGATTAGAATAAGCGAAGATTGTAATTAGCCGAAACATATATTAAATGAATAAAGTATCAATTTGCTCATCAGGTGTTACCTTAAAGTAGTATATTAAGATAATAAAACTATAAAAATAATCTTCAAAGAATGATGAAATCATGGTTTATTTGATATTCAATACTTTCCTTCGAGTTGTACATGAGTTTGACCATGTATTGATTAATGAGTTGATGAAAGAGTAGGCACCAATCAAATAAGCCAGATGTTGTGAATGTGGTCATGCATTGTGATATCTCAAAAGTTAAAACGAAACTATAGCTGATACATTTGCATGGACACGGATTAGAGCTTAAGCAACGCATTTCTCATTTTCATGAAATGTGATTGGGATGGATGACACATGGGGATCTGAGAAATCTCTTTACATTTTGCGTGTTGAAAACTAGTATGAAAAAGTTGATCTCTCCACGTGGACTGTTAGTGATCTTTCTAGTTTCAATGACAAAGCATTTGTCTGTTACGTATCAATTTCATTTCCTGCTTTCATAGGAGTTTGGATTGTGAAATTCATTTTTCTTCTTTATGTCTTCTTACCAATCAATCCGTTTTTCCTCTATTACATGTGGTAACAAAATACTATATACCAAAAAGTGGTGGGCAAGCTTTTCCACTGAACATTAAAATTGTGTCCTTATCAAACTATACTAACCTGTGGATGGTTAGGTTTGGTAATTTCCTCATCAATTATAGTCCCTTTTTAAGGAAAGGTGAAAACCATCTTTTCTAAACTCAGTGGTTCTCAACAGCTTAATGGAAAAGTTTTTGACTTGATCATTGCTTTCTTTTGGGACAAAGAAGAAAGAAGAGCTTCAACTTACTATAGGTGTATGTAGTAGTACCACGTGGAGATGACTCATCTTTGTGCATTAAAAGACTACTTTTACTCCACTACGGTTTATTTGGCAAGAGATCTCAACCACAAAATCAGAAAGATTAATATATTCTACCAACCAACACATCTTCTAACTGGTGCAGATATAAGGAATATCAAGTCAAAATGCACTGCAATTTAACCCTTCCATATAAACTGGGTTGACGTTAGTCGATTAACTTTCTCTCTTTGATATAAACTAAAGGGGAAAAATAAACTTTTTGACATGTGGGTGGGTGTCTAAACATTGAAAGGAAGGATTAAAGGATCCTAACCAAATTATGACCCCTTCTATTGTTAGCTTGGCCGGTTAAGAAGAATCTAGAGGTTGCTTAGCTTGATCAGTCAAGCTAATATTTATACCCAACCACCTTTTCTCTTTTTTGCACAAAATATAATTATATTCATGTATATTACAATTCATAATTGCATTATGGATTTATGATATGATTTTATGACTCTTGGCGTCTTGTCATTTGCTTAACAGAATATTTGCTTTATGGTCAACCCTTACTCAGCTTGTCATGAAACTTTCAGCAAAGGGAAGAACTCCATGTGTACACTCTGTTTATTTTTACACAAAAGGAACATTGCAGAATGATTAAGAAAGAATCTTGTTTAAGGTCAGCATCAAGGATAGTGAACATCATGGAATTGTTGTTGTTCAATAAATCCTGAAAATCTCAATTTCCCTTTTTTTCATTGAAGTTTAAACCGGATAAATATCACCATTGAGACATTTCATTGTAACTTCCAAATTTACAAATTTTTTGCATTATACATCACATAGCAAGAAAAGGTAAGGTGCCTGTCATTATGTTACAAAGCAATGTAGAACACGAAATGTACCTTCCTACCTATTAATGATGGTTCTGCTAAGCCTGCATAAGTTTGTTACTGCTGGTTCTGAAGATTTTCTTCCTTTCATTTTATTGGTTCTCTCTTTAGTTTTTGGCATGTGAAATTTGAATTAATTTTGAAGCAAAGATCTCTCATTACGTTTATGATCATATGACAGAAATCTCAATGACCCAAAAAATTGAGATAAGCTACAAAATCATTGAACAATGTATAATTTAAGACATGGGTACTAACATTTCATATTATTACACAAGAAATGTAAGAAACATTATTAAAGAATCTGATGGAACATGAAAGCATTATTGAAAGTAGGCAGCCACGCCAACCCTAGAAAAGACAGAAGATATGATGTAGTCAAGATACTGGAGTACATTACATTGTTTCATTTATGAATTAATGATTACATTATTTAGCATTAGCCTATAAATTGGTAACTGAGTTATACATTCTCATAATGGCTTAGGACAGCTAAGCCTACAAAATTTCAAGTATTAGATTCTGAAAGCATATGACAAGAGAAAATAAGAACATGGCACGCTCTGAGTAATGAGAACATTAGTTTGTGATCTGACAGGATGAGGAAACAGGACCTTTCTTGTCTTAGAGTACATTCAATATGGTCTGCATTTCTAGAATGTCTCTCACCTTGATATATCTTAACTGGGGGCAAAAAGAATCCATATCAGTCAAATTGATGTATAACTAACTAAATTTACATTAGTACACCTAAAATGCAACTTTTTTACAAGGAAATATCTACATCTATATCATCCATAGAATCTTCAATACGTGCAGCAATTAATATAATACGATAAAATGTACTTTAACAAACACCAGAGTATTAATGGCAATCTAAATGAACTCAGTATCAGCAATGCTAATGCAGCTAGCACTATTGGAAAGACTTCCTCATCAAGAAGAAAATAAAGGGGGATGACTGGTTCCCACTTTCTCATTTCTGTTTTCAATTCAAAACAATATTCCAGGGATCACATGTTGGTAAAATACAGGTCTTCATGTACCATTACTTTCTTTCTTCCCTGCCTTCACATTTTCCACATGCAGATTTAAATTTTCGTTTTCTCAATGTGAAGTATTCTTCTCTCATGTCAACGTATGCATAGCATCTGTTGTCTGCTACCTCTTTTTTTAGTAATTTGCATATATATATATATATATATATATATATATATATATATATATATATATATATATATATATATATATATATATATATTTATAATGTGAAAGTAGAAGTTGGCTGTGGCATAGACAGTATGTTTTCACCTTTCCTTAAAAGAGAGGAGGTAGAACTATCTCATAAGCTACTGAAGTTCACTGCTTTTCAATTCGTACTGTTACAAGTATTATTGGCTACTATTACTTCTGATTACTTCTGATCGATGCCATTGGTGTCAGCTTATTATAAATTTATAATTCTATTTTCCATTCAAGAAAATTTAAAATTTTTGTTTGAGAGTCTTATCAGCAAATCTAAACTATTCTCAACACCTTCTCCTTTGTTCTCTTCTCATTTTTCTCTGTCAACAGTCAATCTAGCTTTCCCTAGATCCCTTGAATGACATTCCTATTGGATATCTTTGAAGGGCTAACACAAAGAGATATTCACTTGGGACACAAGCCAAACAGGACAAAAAAAAATATGATACTATTTTCAACCTAAAACCTTAAGATATTAACTTTACAAGTCATTTTCGTTTATAAGTTATTTAATTTTTCGATTTCTATTCAACTTAAATTTCAACTCTAAACTTTCATGACTATAAGCATTTGCTCTTATGATAAATTTCATAGTACAGAGTTCAAAATGTTTCTGTCCTTTTCCTTCATATATATCAACGAGTCTCAAATCACAATTATTTGATTCAGAATAAATTTTGCATAATATTTCATTCTCTTCTTTGCATATTTTCGTAGACTGCTTAGCTAACCGTTATTCTAATGATTGTCTCATCTCTTAGTGGAAAAGTAAATAATTTAATAGTATAGCATGTAATATTCATTCTTTGCTTTTAGGAATTTAGTGTTTAATTTGAAACTTAATCACCTTATTCCATATACTCTGTAAATAGATTGGGAATTATCTTCAAAGTTGCTTTGCTGAACAGAAATATAGTTTAGGAAGCAATTTTTTGAGACAGTTGCAAAAATATGAAATATAGAATTATTACATTAGAATAGGAAGAGAAAATAGATTCTGTGTTCCAATAAATGAATATACTTTGTTTATCAATATACTTTAATATTAAGACAGTAGGACATCTTAGAATTCTTCCATCTTTCCATAGGTATTCCTTTAATAAAGTACACTTGAATATGGATTAAATTTGAGTAACAAACTCTGTAACCGGATATTTTGAAAAGCAAAGGGTCATAATATGGAAAATATATTATAAGTTATTACAGAAAAAATGTTCAGAGTACGTTGAAAAGGGATAGATTTGCATGAAGTTTGAAAAGAAACATCAAATTTCATTTGCCTATTCCGAACATGTAATCAAGATCTCTTGAAAAGGTACTACCCTCAACATACACCCAACTAGTCTATTTTTTCTATTATGTTAAAACTGCAAATTTAACTGAAAATGGGCTGGCTTTCCACAGATTCAAAAAACCCATTATAAATATATTTTGTGGTTGAAACCATACCAATGAAAAACTAATTTATTGTACATGATTTAAGTAGTATACTAAGTAAATTCACGAGGTTGTTTTATTTGGCTCCAATAAAAAAAAAAGGGAAAATCATCCCATTCCACTCAGAAAGCCAACAAGACTATTTGTTTCAAATTTGAACTTCTTTTTTTCTCTTTGATTATGACAAAAATGGCTACATTTAAGGCAAAAATGAGAAAGACAATATCGTTTATACCCGTGAGCATAACCTAAAAGTACAAAAAAAAGTAACTGTACTTCGCATACAAGTCTGTCTTGTAACCTGGTTTAGGGGTTACCTTTTTAGAATTGAACAACAATTAAACATGTATGAGTTTTGAAATTGTCATATTTCATCTTAAAATCAATTACTAACAATCAAAGTTATCTAGTATATAAACATTTTAAGAATTGAGGTAACATTTAAGTAATTTATCTTCTTTTTCTTTTAGACTTGCCATATGTATCACCAGTACCAGAGAAAAAACAGGTAAAATAGATGAGTAGTTCTCCTTCTTTCTAGTTTCATCATGTACGTTGTTTTATTGTCTCTGAATGCCAATTGCTTCACTTTGATGCCAAATTAACCATGCAGATAAAAATATATTATTGAAAAGTGGAGGGTAATAGAACGAAATAACTGAGAGTAGCAGCTGACTGCATGCATGCATGGTTATTAAGAGTACGCTGTACACAACTCATGGGTGACTTCAGATTATTTCTCAGGTTCCTTAACTGTATTTTCTCATGACAGAAAAGAAGTATATACTCTTATTATGGATACTAGGGAACTGATTCATGGCAACGCGAAAACTGATGTTTAGAAATCAGGGAGAAAGTGTAGACGAGCCAACATTACATCCAAATGGTAGCTAACTTCATATCATCATAATTAAACAGAATATTAGAAAGGCCATGACCTCAGAGTAATCAATTTTTGCATGAGAGAGTTATCAAGATTTCAGATGTATCAACAATCGGGTGCATATTTACTTTTTTAGTTATTTAGTAGTAGTAATTTACAATTACAGCGCAGGATACAGGAGCAACTAATTACCAAATTCATTGCTTTAATTTCAAAAGGTCAAAGCAATTTTCATCTACTTAAATATTAAACTAAAGAATATACTCTAGTCCCACTGCTAGTATTATTATATACATAATTGGCATTGAATCCAAAACGTGAATACAATCCATTGTTAGGATTTTATTGTTGTGATTCCATCATCAAACTTCAGAAAAAATTGGCATGGGAAGCTTCATCGAAAGTTCAGCAAATTTCATGAAAAAAGAAAAAAAAAAAAGACATTTGATTTTGGAGACAACACTCCATCCATAACCATAATGATCTCTTCCTTCACCAACGGTGTGTTCCTCAACTTCAGAAGCTTAGACAAGTGTTATGGTCTTACCGGCAATCTCGACAAAAGCTCTTCATGATAGGGGAATCCACACTTTCGTTGATGATGAGGAGCTTCAGGGAGGAGAGGAAATAACACCAGCACTTGTGAAGGCAATTGAAGAGTCCAGGATTGCCATCCCTGTGATCTCTAATAAGTGTGCTTCTTCTTCGTTTTGCTTAGATGAACTTACGAACATCCTTCACTTTAGTTTCAGGAAAGGATGGTTGGTTTTGCCGGTTATTTATAACGTGGATCCTTCTGACGTGCGACACCAGAAAGTAGTAATGGAGAAGATTTATTTTAGTTTGATTAAGTTTCGCTTGTCTAAAGATTTAATGTTGAAATTTAAAGAAAAAAAAGAAATGCTAGTTAGCCTTGACAGCATACATAGTTAAACTTTTCTGTTTGAAACAGAGATGGGAATGAAAGCAAGTTTATTGAGAGGATTGTTGAGTCTGTCTCTGGAAAGATCAATCGTGCTCCTTTACATATTGCGGATTATCCAGTTGGACTAGAGTCACAAGTGGTAGAATAGAAGCAAGGAAACTTTTGGATGATACGAATCTGATGATGGTTTTGATGGTTTGTGCTTTCTTGAAAACATTAGAGAAAGATCGACAACCATGGGTTAAAACATCTCCAAAGCTCCCTTCTTTCGGAAATTCTTGGAGAGAAAAAAAAAATTAGGTTGGCTAGTGTGCAACAAGGAATTCAATGATAAAGCTCCAGGGAAAGAAGGTTCTTCTGATTCTAGATGATGTTGACGAGCACTGGCATATACAAGCTATTGGTGAGAGACCTTATTGGTTTAGTGTTGGTGTTTGAAAATTCAAAAAAGGTGAGAAGTGGTTGCACTACTAGAAAATATACTTTCAACGTCGCTGTTTAACGTCGGTTACATCTTAGCCGACGTTGAACATGCTTTCAACGTCGGTTGGTCAACAACCGACGTCGAAAGTCGAATTTTGACACATTCTACGTCGTTTTAGCATGCACGACGTGGAAAAGTAGGCTTTCGACGTCGGTTATGCTCTCACCCGACGTTGAAAACCCTTCTGAACTCATTATAACCGATCAGAATACAAATATGACCGATCAGAATCAAATGTGATCGATCAGATTTTAATTATGAGCGATCAGAATTTTTTCAATCGATTAAAAACACGTTTCAATCGATTAAAATCTCTTAAAGGGTCAGGATGATCGATCAGAATCCAGTTATGACCGATTAGAACTATTTTAATCGATTAAATCTCGTTTCAATCGATTAAAACAGATGAGACTATCACGACATGAGGCAAAATTTAACGTCGGTTACATAATAACCGACGTTAAATGTTTAAATTTAACGTCGGTTATGTATAACCGACGTTGAATTCCCAAAATTAACGTTGGTTATATGATTTACCCGACGTCGAAAGCGTTATCCACGTCGGGTTTTTAATAACCGACGTTGAATGTCCTTTATACCTCTCGCCTTTCGCGCTCCCCTTCGTCTGCCTCTTCTTCGTCCCACATACTCCCTCCTTCTGCTTCTTCTTCTACGTGCCTCGATCCTCATCGCTGCCCCTCGCGCCCCCTCGCGCCCCTTCGCCGCCCGGTTCGCCGGCCCCTCGCTCTGCCTCCTCGCCGCTGCTACCTCATTCGGCTGTGGTTCTGCCGCCCACTCGCCGCCCACTCGCGCGCTCTGCCCCCTCGCCATTGCTACCTCCTTCGCCGCCCACTCGCCGCGCTCTCATCGAGGTTAGATTAAGTTGCATGGATGATTTACAACATGCATTTAACATAAATATGAATTATTTAGAGCATTTCCTGCGTATGAACATTAGAAAGATGATGGATGATTTTGTATATATGGTTTGATTTGATCTAGGTTCGTTTAGGTTTCGAAGTGGTATATGTAACATTAGGTTTCGTTTAGGTTTAGGTTTAGCTTTAGGTTTAGCTTTAGCTTTCGAAGTGGTATATGGAACATTAGAGCATGTATGGAACATTAGAGCATTGTTAGGCAATGTACACGTTTTTTTTGTATTGTTTTGTTAAACCTTTTCTAATAAACCTTGAATATCTAGGCAAGCCTTCTTATGTAGTTAGATGGATCGAACTTGGGTCAATGCAAGTCGTATGTCAGAAGAGTATGAGAATGGAGTTGACTCCTTTTTTAAATTTGCCGAACAAAATGCTCCCAAAATGAATGGAAAAATCTACTGCCCATGCGTTAATTGTGTAAATGGCAGAGTACAAGAGATGGACACAACGCGGGAGCATCTTATTTGCGATGAGATGATGAAGAATTACACAATATGGACATGGCACGGTGAAGTGGTTCATATTCCAACAGTATCACAAACTATTGAGGATGATGTAACCTGCGAAGATCGAATAGAGGACATGCTTTGTGATGTGGGTCAAGAGAGGTTTCTTGAAGCACATGCATCTATATATGATACATTGAGGACCGATTCAGAGACACCTTTGTATCCCGGATGTACAACTTTCACACGGTTGTCATCTGTGTTAAGATTGGTCAATCTAAAAGCCAAATTTGGTTGGAGTGATACAAGTTTTAATGAATTACTCCAACTTTTAACGGAGATGCTCCCAGACAATAACACCTTGCCGGACCGTATGTATGAAGCGAAGAAGATACTATGTCCGATGAGTTTAGAATATAGGAAGATACATGTTTGCCCTAATGATTGTGTGTTATATAGGAAAGAATTCTCATCTTTAGACCAATGTCCAACATGTGGTGTATCACGTTACAAAGCGAAGGATGGTGATGATTGTAGTCAGGAGAGTGGTAAAAAACGTCCTCCTACAAAAGTTTTATGGTATCTTCCAATTATTCCAAGATTTAGGCGGTTGTACGCTCACGAAGATGCTGAAAATTTAATTTGGCATTCAAAGAGAAAAACATGTGATAGGCAAATGCGGCATCCATCTGACTCTCCCCAATGGAAGAATTTTGACCGTCTATTTCCAAGTTTTGGTAGTGATGCAAGAAACCTTAGACTTGGATTAGCAACAGATGGGATGAATCCTTTTGGAAATTTAAGTAGTAACCATAGTTCATGGCCCGTTTTATTGATGATTTACAATCTTCCATCATGGTTATGCATGAAGCGCAAATATGTCATGTTGTGTATGATGATTTCAGGTCCAAGACAGCCAGGAAATGACATAGATGTGTATTTGAGTCCTTTGATAGAAGACTTAACACTATTATGGGAGGAAGGAGTAGATGCATTTGATGGGTATCAGCAGCAGAAGTTCAAGTTGCATGCAATGTTATTTTGCACCATTAATGACTTCCCTGCCTATGGAAACTTGAGTGGGTATAGTGTGAAGGGGCATTATGCTTGTCCTATTTGTGAAGAAGAGACCGAGTTATATACAATTGAAACATGGAAAGAAGACAGTTTATAACGAGCACGAGAAAATTTCTCCCGCATGACCATCCATACCAGTAGACTGAAGAAAACTTTTAATGGCATACGGGAGGATGAAATTGCCAGGAGAACCACCGATCTGGTTTAGAAGTTTACGATCGAGTGAAGAACATAAGCATTACATTTGGAAAGACCCAAAAAAGGTCTTCTTACAAGAACATGTGGAAGAAGAGATCAATTTTCTTTGATCTTCCATATTGGAGCCATTTAGAAGTACGACATTGTATTGATGTTATGCATGTGGAGAAGAATGTATGTGATAGTCTCATTGGCACATTGTTAAACATTCAAGGAAAGTCAAAGGATGGGATCAAAGCACGTCAAGACCTTTGTGAGATGGGAATACGTCCTGGATTACATCCAAGGCCTGAAGGCAATAGAACATATCTACCACCAAGCATGTCACACCTTGTCAAAGAAGGAGAAACGTAGTTTATGTCATTGTCTTGCAAGTATTAAAGTGCCACAAGGATACTCTTCAAATATTAAGAGTCTTGTATCCATGAAAGATCTGAAGTTAATTGGATTAAAGTCCCATGATTGTCACGTTTTGATGCAACAGTTGTTACCAGTGGCTATACGTAACATATTGCCTAAGAATGTTAGACATGCCATTATGCGACTATGTTTTTTCTTCAATTCTATTTGTGCCAAGGTTATCGATGAAAAATCACTAGATGAGTTGGAAAATGAGGCTACTAGTTGTGCTATGTCAATTGGAGATGTATTTTCCTCCATCATTCTTTGATATAATGATTCACTTAATCGTTCATGTTGTGAGGGAGATACGAATTTGTGGGCCGGTTTATTTGAGGTGGATGTACCCAATTGAGCGATACATGAAGATCTTCAAAGGGTATTCTAAAAATCCATATAGACCTGAAGCTTCAATTGTTGAGCGGTATATTGCGGAAGAAGCCATAGAATTTTGTTCGGATTACTTGGCAAGAGTCGTACTGTGGGTGTACCTAGAAATCGTCATGATGATAGGCTAAATGGTAAGGGAACTCGTGGTATTAGAATTCAAACAAAAGATCATGTAGAGTTGACCACCGCCCACTTGTATATTTTGAACAATACGGAAGAGGTTATTCCTTACATAGATGCGCATAAAGCAATGTTAAAGGACCTAAACCCCAAAATGGGTGAAAGGTGGTTGATGAAAGAGCATAACAACAACTTTATCAATTGGTTTCAAAGCAAAATATTTTCAAGTGACAATGCCTACGATACACTTGAAATGGCTAGCACATGGGCCTAGACATAATGTTATAACTTGGCAAGGGTATGACATTAACAAATACTCATTCTATACGAAGGCACAAGATGACAAAAGTATGGTCCAGAATAGTGGAGTATCTATTGAGGCAACATCTATGCACTTTTCTAGTGCAAAGGACAAAAACCCCATCATGACATCAATTAGTTACTTTGGAGTGATTGAGGAGATTTGGGAGGTCGACTATACTAAATTCAAAGTGCCTTTATTTAAATGTAAATGAGTTGATAGCAATACTGGTGTCCAAAGAGACCAAATGGGATTTACTTTGATTGATATAAACAAGATTGGTCATAAGGAAGAACCCTTCATAATGGCATACCAGGCAAAACAAGTGTTTTATGTCACTGATCCATCAAATGATAGGTGGTCAGTTGTCCTCAAAGGAAAAATGATTGATGTCACAAATGAGAATGAAGAAGAATTAGATGATTTTATTAACATTCAAAGTTCACCACGGTTGCCTATTGCTATATCCCAATTGGAAGAGGACTTTGTTCATGCTACTCGCAATGACCATGATGAAGGCATATGGGAAAATATTAATACAATCTAAGTTATGTTTCTATTTATTTATTTTTTTAACATGTAATTGAGGAGACTTTGCATGTGTATTGATATAATTCTATGTTTTTTTCATTACAGGTAAATGGCATCTCCTCCACCATCTCCTCCACCATCTCCTCGAGCATCCGGAAAGACATTTTCCGAGTAAGAGGAGTCGACAATCTACACGGTTGAAAGGCTTGACCGTTAGACACATATCCGGCCGGAAGTTATCTCGTTTCGTTGATCCTAGGACTGGCAAGGTGTCAGGTCCCTTCGATACCCAATTTAGAAGCTACTTGGGTACACTAGCTAGAGAGAAGGTATTTATTCTATTTCAAAGTTAATTTCATTTCAAATATATTGTTGATATTTATGTTGTTTATGTTGTGTAGATATCTATTCTCCATCCTACTTGGGATCATGGGGAGGAAACTGTGAAGAACTTGTTATGGCAAGATCTTCTTGTAAGTATGTGTATTTAGTTGTTTATATTGTTTATACATTATTATCAATTGATTAACTAAAACTTGTTTGCTACTGTAGGA